AAATCACGAATCTATTTATGGCATGCCTTCATTTGGTTCCAATAACCTTTTGTCGGGTGGAGCGGTTAACTAGCGTTTTTATGAGTTTTGGTGCGTTAGTGAAAATGATGAAGGCCTTTATAATAAAAGGAAGCTGTCTTTGAGGCGGCAAATAAGGCATCTCTTCTTCACCACTTTCTACTCCTCATAAAAACCTCAAGCCCGTAAACACAGACCAAGACTGCTTGCGCCTCGAAATCGGGACGTTTTTAAAGGCGAATTGCCATTCGAGACGCTAATATGCACCACAGTTTTAGAGTTTCTACATGGATGAAATATTGAGGGTAACTGGTTAAATAAAGTAATTATTTTCTTGTTTATTTTTTCGGTTAATCATTTCTAAAATGAAGTTATCTTGTTGAGGATAAAGTAGTCCTGTATAGCGCGAATCTTTAGCCACTTTTGAGGTAAAAAAACATTTTGGATTGTACTTCAGCCATTGTGTGATATTTTCGTGTTGCCACGTCCAAATCTTACCCACTCGCACCGCGAGGTGGAGAGACTGTTCTGTAAAGTTCAGTTCACCCCGGTTTCAACGTTTCATATTAACGAAAAATTGCTTAAAAATCACCCCATTTACTGTACTTGCACTTTGTCACAAACAAATACCCATCGTGTTATGGAACAGGCGCCAAATAAGGTGGACCAAACCGACAATCAGCGCTGCATGAGCTGCTGACACATCGTCTACAAAGTGAGTGGAAGTTTAGCTTGCAAAATTAACTGATCAAAATAACCTAATTCTAATGCTTTACGAAAATTCTAAAACTGCATCAAACTGATGTTCTGGTCTGGTAAAAAGTGTTCTAGTAGGCGTCTTGTCTTTACTTAATAAATGCTTGCTCTTGGTTGCAATTTCGTCTGTGGAATCTTCTTTTGGGTGATATGCAAAAATTTAAAACAAAATCTACGGCTTTTCTGCCCCAATTACAATTCGTCCTCACCAGCGGTCGTTCCGTGGGTCCACAAGGCAATGATGACACTGAACAGGCGGCTAATAATCCAAGCGATTTGGTAGACTAGTGTCCGCATTACACAGAAGGGATAACGCCCAACATGGCGTTTTGAGTTGGTGATCACGACAGAACCAGCAGCAGTGGCAGCAGCAGCAGAAGCAGCAATGACAACACCAGAGGCTGTAGCTGTTCCGCTCCCTCGCTCGCTCTATCAAACACTGAACGGACAAAATGCAGCCTGCTGATTGGTCCTCTTTACTCGCCCACGTAGTCCACTCCTAGTGGCCACTACAGAACCAGATTCATGCGTACAAATAGCGTACGTTTGTGTTTTCCCATTGATAATTTACACAATCAGATTGACAATGATAGACTTTATACTTTTCCGGATTAGATGGTAGAAGCGTGAGATTCAAACCCGCGTCCAATCACCTATTCTGTCCTTAGTAGTAATCTATCCCACTTGGACCCTGAACTCGGATTGGCATACAAATTTTACCTTGCGGCACGTTAGCCTAGTAATTAGTTTTTTTAAGCAATCAGGCTCGTTTTAGCTTAGATCTTGTCGTCAATTTTCGTTCCTTAATAAAGTCAAAGCATGGATGGTTAAAAAGTGGTTTGATTCAGGTATGCTTTTGGATGCACTGCTCAGCCGGTTTTGCTCACCCGATTAAAGCCAAACAGTGGTTCTTTTTTTTAAAAGCACATGCTCTTTTACAGCCCAATCAAATTTTCTGTCTGTTTCAAAGCTTTTATTTCGTATTTTTTATTTTTGACTGGATGAAGTGGAGTGGGTTTTCTAGTGGGATTTAAAATCCCTTCTCCGCAGCAGAAAAGAAGCAAATCCATCGGTTGTTTGTCTTTTGAGAGGCATCTATTTTAAGCAACGCTTTTGCTACTTTGCCAATGCCTTTTTGTTGTGCATTTTCGTTTATTCGCACAAGCGGAATTGTCAGTTATTATCGTTTGGTACGTGCACAAAGTGAAGTCTCTCTATTTATCGCTATAGGAATTTGGGTTAAATTAACTATTTTGGAACGCCTATTAAATATGTAATGACATGTTCGTAACAAAACATTAAAATGTAAAGATGAAATTCAGGAGGGAATACAGAGTTGGCAGGAATTTTCTCGTTCATTTTGTGGCTAGACAGCCTCAAGGAATTAGATAGGTGGCTAGAACTGGACTTGAAAAGGTAGGTCTTCTTAGGTTGAGAATTAAAATCAGCTATAAGTTTTGGCATAGTCGGTTTACCTGCTCATTTGGACGCATTAGATTTGAGGTACAAGCAAGACTCGAAAGGAATGTGACTAGCAGACCACGACGCATTGCCGTATTCCGTATTTTCCTGTTCATTTTCACCAGAATTCATCGGAATACTGTTTCTCTCACTTAATCCCCAATCCGCTTCATGGCCCAAATGACATGAACAAACAGGGCTTTTACCTTTTTCATAGCCCTGCGTTTAGCGTCGCTTTTTCTTAAATTCATCCACTCATTTATCTTAATTTTACCTATTGCAAATAAAATTTGAACAAAGTTTTACGTAAGGCAGGCATTTCCACTTCAGAAAATGAACTAGCTTTCACATTTTCCACGCAGGAAGGAAAAGTCATTAATTCATCGACGGTTTATTGCGCAGCGTCCGGGTCACCGCAGATATATCAGCCTGAATGGAATTTCATTTTCAAGGTGAGCTTTTGCCAAATATACCCTGAACAAAAATCAAGACATCAAAATATGATTGAAACCGCTGAGAGTAAAAAGACTGCGCAGACAAATATTTTTATTTTACAGTTAAGTAAAATGGGCAGTTAACCTCTGCTCTGTTTTCTTTCACTTTACCGTGCGATTCTGGCATAAATAGCGCCATTGTATTAAGCTATCATTTTAATTGCAAAATGAAACGATGATTGTTCAACAAAAAACGACCTAAGTATGGTGCTGTAGCAATTACAGCTACTGACCTTTTAATTGAAAGTTAAGCTTAATTTACCACCCAGAATTTCACTTTAAATTGTCTAATTTTGTTTTAAGAAATAAACTGACACGAACCACTTTCGCACTCATCCCCTAATTTCTAAATATCAATTTTAATCCTTTTTCTACGGGACCCAGAATGTCTTAGTTCTTAAATCAGAATTTACGACTTTTTAATCTCTACATATGGGGGCGATTAAATAGAACAGATGGGCGGATGGCTTCTAACGCCTGCCCAATCCCTAGTTTGACCCACTTACTCATTTGTGAGTTACCTAGACTTTGGACAAGTTATCTTGTACTGTACTATAGCTTAAAATTAGAACTATGGGAAATGTTGATGCATGCTGGAAGTTGGATCGTCCTTTTAGCATAACGGAATGGAGAAACATTTGGTTTGGTAATGCAAGCCACTACCTACTACCGCGTAACTGCGTAAGGTGGGAAAGGCCTTAACTAAAAAGTAATTTATTTTTGTACGCTGGACAAGCGACCTCATTAATGCTTTTAGATGGTTGTTTTTGATGCTGTAAGTCCTCATTAATTAGCACAAACCTCACTTACCTTAATGTAAATCTTCACTTAGCTCTCGTCTGCAAACGAATTTTCATTCCTTTACAATGTTGGCTAACAGTCTCGAGGGGAAATCTACCACCACAACGCGTAAAGGTGTGAATTTTGTCTGTTTATCATATGATGAGATTCAATTAACTCTCATAAACTGGTAGGGAGCCAATGTCACATATATGTGACGCCGTCTTCGAACGCAAGCATTTATTGAGCTGTACTTAAGTTAACTCTAATTAATGTGTTTAAACCTCAAATGCGACTCAAAAAGATGAGAATTGTAATGTCTTCCCTATTTATTGCAAAGTTCACACCTCACAGGATCCAAAGGGACGATTCCATTGTTCACATTTTCCTTTCAATATCGCGAGGTTATGTTTAGAGCCCAATCGGGAACTGCATTAAGACCAAATAGCGGCACTCCGTATGTTATGGTGCCCACAGTCACGACAGCCTGTGCCACGCAGTTGAGAATTACTCCAGTTTTCATCTATAACAACGAAGAGGGTAATATTTCTACAACTGGGTGTTAGTCGACTCGAAGATCAAGGCATTCTACGTCACCCATAAAGGTCGTTCTGCTTCTCATGGGCTTTAGATGGGTTTGTTACCTCCGAGATGTGTCAAAGCTAAATCAGGAGTTCATGAACACCGGGTAATTGAAAGGGTGTTTACTGTCCCACGTTAATCCCGGTTCTAGCATAGATTTATATACTTACTTCAGTCTATAAATGGAAAAGAACACTCTCGATAGGGGACGTTTTGGTGATACGGATGAACCATCCTAGAACGATCTACTGTGTGGCAACTGTTCCAAATTACAAATCTTCCTATCCGCAAATTAAAGGTTCGTCTGTTGAATGAGTTGGCACATTCAGGGGCATGACTGGGAGGGCTGCGGGCTAAGAGCTACCCCGACCGCGTCCATCACCGGAGCACATGCGCGAGAGCCTTTTTAAAAGGTTTACACCACTCAATCACCCTACCATAGTATGCTGGTGGATATACTCGAATTTGAGTTCTATACCTCCTTTCTCGCTAATTTAATCGTCATGCGGGAGTTCCACGAAGCGGACGTCAACTGTGACCACTACCGCTCCTGGCAGGACGTACTTTCCGCTACCGCGAATGGTACCGCCTCGGTAGCACTCACTTTAAGGGTTTAGATTTACAGTTCCACTTTTACTTGAAGCACTCCTCTCATATTTTCTGAAATAAACGCTAAAATTTCCATTTCCTAGTCCCGCTTTGATGTACTGAAAGTACAACCTACCATATCAATTAATCGGACACGACCTTTGGCAAAGATAATGGCATTCGGCGGGGTAGCAGCGGGCAGAATGAAAGCCAATGAAGTGGCAAGGACGAGTGGTAAAGTGAGACAAAAGGGATGAATCGCCAATTTATCAGCCTAAAACAAAATACAAAAATAAACGGTTTCAGCTTCATCCACTTATGTGTGAACGTGTTGAAGCATGTGTAAAACTTCTTTCCAAGGTTGGGGTCAAGTTAAAGGCCAACAATGCTCTCTAGTCATGTGCCGATTGAAAGTAGGCAAAAACTTACAAGTTCAAACATGATTGGGGTGAGAATGGTAACAGTTGCGGTGTTTGACACCATCTCCGTCAAAAATGAGCACATCACTGTCAAAATGTAGACAATAGCGAATGGCGGTAGAGCATTCAATCCTACCAGGCTATCACTGATGACTGTAGACAGACCAGACGACTGAAAAGTTAGAAAGTTTCTATTTTAAATTTAATTTGAACTGATTATTTAACATAATGCTACCGTATGAATTTTCTAACAAGAAAGAGATTATGCCACCAAAACCAGAGTTAATCTACCGATTGCATAGAGCTATGTAAAATTTCCTCCTTTTGAAATACAATGTTACGAGGGGATTTTTCACTTTAAATTCAGTGTCAAGCATACCGTGACTATTTTGGAGAGGGCAAACCCGCCACCAATGAGGATAATGACGCCCCAAGCGCACTTCTTTTCAGCTTCTGACCATGGCAGAAGCGGTCGATTCAGCCTAGCTAGTGCTTCTTTCCCTACGGAGGGTAAAGACTTCTGATTATATGGCTGTCTGGATGTGGTTAAACAGACAGCAATTTCCTACTAACGCATTTCATCCGGACAGTTACGCAGTTTAAATGGGTTGTTGTAGGGTAGAACCAAGGCCAGGAAGGCCACCAACACAATAGGTTGCGTATCTCCGACGTAACTAAAGACGCAAAAGATGATAAACATTTTTGATGGACTGAATGGAAAAAAGGTAGGTCTAAAGCGCACTGAATAATTCGGCCCTTTGAATTGGTTTTGGTTGGCATGATGAGAGACCACCCTGGCACGCCTGGCTCTCTGCCTATCCACAGGATCACGACTGAAATAAAAAGCGTCAGAACGGTTCCCTCGGCCCACCTAAAAAGCAGTGAAATGCATGATGAAAAATCCGTAAAGTAGCTGAGGTAATGATGATGAAGGAGTTAGGCCGTTTAACTTTTTTGGAAAGATTTATGTCTTGCGCAGCAGGCACCATTGTTGTATGCATAATTAACACTTTCTCCATCAGCATCGCGGAGTTGCGATATAAAATTCCCTAGCGGTTTAGAGTACCTGATTAAAATAACTAAGAGATTGATGGTGTTTGCAGAAATGATTTAGAACCCACGCTGTTCTTGATCTGAGAAAGACTGTAGTCTTATTTCGTCTTAAGTAGTATGACTGCTAGAGCAGTAAAAAGCATCTGAGCTGTGGCAGTCGCTATTACTTCTTCCAATGCATAACTTCAGAACTGCAAATTCAATGGGATCATGGGCACCTGGATTCCCTTTTTATTTTTTTTTAATTGGGCTATCTTAAATAGTCTGTCTAGGGTAAAAGTAGTCAGGCAGAATTTGACAAGGACAGGCGACTTACGTCATAGAACCGATAACTTTCTCCTCCTCCTCAATAATCTTCTGAACAATATCGGCAAGGGAAATGTCTGCTATCTTCCGTTTACTCTCATGTCCCTCCTCGCTTTCTTCTATGGTGAACACTTCATCGGATGCGCTAGACGCTGATTTGGACACGGTTCTTCGGCAACTGAATAGCTGTCTAACAAGATTCATAAGGTATGCACTTTAAGGAGGAAAAAATGGACATCATTTTGCAGACAATAGCACCTACTTTGGTCCGAGGTATATCAGACAAATTGTAAACCAAATGCAGAGAAGGATGATCAGCGAGATGGGGAAGGCGTACGCCATCCATGAACCGAAATTCAAACCTGTCTCACTTCCGTACACACTGAAAAGGAAAGTTTCTTAAGTGAGGTGAAGCCTCTCAGTTTTACTTAACAATAGAATACACAAATTCTCTTCACTAGACACCCTTCTTTTAGCGATTAAAGATTGAAATAAATGTATTTGAGGTGATTTTATTAATTCTAGAAATAGTCGGTTGCTTTCAGTACATGAAATTTAAAGCAAGCTCACAACAAAGGGAATAAATAATTGCCTACTCTGTAAGAAGATTATAAACGACAATATTTGTTGGCGTTCCGGTAAGCGTTCCCATGCCTCCACAACTGGCGGAGTAGCAGACACTTAGGCTGAGACCGACACCAAACTTTTGCCATTTGGAACGATTGGGAGACAGCTCCTCACCACTCTCTTCACTGGACTTACTTCTGAAAAGGTTGGGAGTTGAATGCGAAGTTATAAGTGTGTATTGTGCTAAGAAAATGACATTTGTCTGATTGCGCATTTAAGCAGTCTAGCTCTTGGGTCAACACGACGTTGTGGTCTCCGATCCATGCGCACGTTCCGTCTGAACCTAGACTGGAAGTATGCTGGAGTAACCGCGTGGAGCGAGCTTGCTCTAAGTTACCAACAGGCCTTATTGTAATACTTTGATTAATGGTTTAAAGTTTCCTTTTTTATTTTGTGAGCACTTAAGGCTCCGCCTTTGTACTTCCGCTAGGCGGCATGGCCTCCGGAGACACGCTAATAAAAGGGTTGTCAAAAGAGCTTTGATCGGAGGGCTTTATATTCATCTCACGATTGTTTTCGCTGATAGCAATCGGCACTATCACCCAAATGAATCCAAATGAAACACTCTCCCACCAGTGTTAGTCCATCATTTTATCGTCATTATTAGCTTGAAGTGGGTCAAAAATCATGGAGATGGAAGGTGGAACTAAATGAGTATAAGTAGAAGACAGCTGTTCGCGCCCTTTGACCTATGTACCTCGGTCGGCTTATTTTTGTCTCATCCACGCTTGTAGCCTACCAGTTTTTCTGCTCTGTCACTTATTAAGCCTTTAAGGAGAACTTTGAGCTCTCAACAGAGCAATTCCGTCTATGCGTTTGTAAGAGGCATAAATGCAACACTTACTTAGCAGTGGAGTCTCTTTCCTCCACAGAGCCTTCAATGCCTGAAAAGGAGTTGTTGCAAGGTGAAGCTTCGATTCAAGCTCTGGCTCTACCTTATCAGAAATACGCTTACTCTTGGTAACCTCGTCAATTCTATTCAACAATGTTTCCGTTATTGTCACCATCAGCAGCGTTGTGGCACTGTTACTCATCCACAGTGACAAAAACCAGGTGGGAATCATTATTCCTAGAAGAATTCTTCCGGAAACGTAAATAAATTATTCCTTGAATGTTCCAAGGGGCTTCAGTGGAATAGTTTCCACTTAAACAGTTAGTTTATAAAAAATTAAACTTTGGACTTTGTTGTAGGTTCAACGAACTTTTTATGTGCTCTAAAACAATCGCTAAATAATGACGTGGTGTTACTCTATTCATGGAATTCGAGGTGTTGGAAATAGGAATAAAAATGTTGCAATGTGGTTTAAATGTGAGGTTAGAGGTCAGATAGTAAACAGTGGAAAAGGCTAACTTGTCTCTTCTCTAAAACATTGGTATTTCAGCGTTTATTTTTAGTTGCATAGCCTGAAAACTTTATCTTCTGTGATTTATGGCCGATATTAAGAGAAAAGTGTGGTAAACTTACAGCCTAGGATCCCCACCCATACACCTTAGACAGAAGATGACAACCCGGCGATGCAGGTTGCAGTGTTCGGCTGCCCCGGCTAGAAACATGCTCGCGATGAAGAGGAAATTTGAAGTCTAACACAAAATACCAAACAAAAATCATCATAGTCATAAATGGTCAAATTTCTCGAAATTTCCAACTGATTGTAATCTTCGAGTGTTGTATCAGTGAATCTAAAAAGGATGGTGCTGGCAATTCAGAGGACAAATTAGCATTTGCGACTTGAACAGAAACCATGACCCTGTTGACTTTAAATAATTTTAAATGCTGGCTACTAGGGTCATGAAGAAAAAGTGACCATTACAATTTAAATGTCTAACTTTTCATTCATAACCCTACCACTGACACTATAGGACTGGACACTTTAAGGGTCAGTCAAAAGCAGAAAAAAAATGTGTCCTCCAGGGGCATCCATTCTTGATGTTTTAAGTTCAACCAGATTGCTTGAGACCCACGATTTGGAGCAACCAATCACTGTCATTAAATTTGTGAAAAACAAGTGTCACGTATTTGTGACGCGGTGGCTAGGTGGAGAAACCGGGCTACTGATAGAAAGTATGTTAATTCTGCCATTAGCATTTCTCATTGAATAAACATTTTTATACCATATTTTAGTATAAGTTTATTTAATGCTTACTGGCAAATACTCGCGGGAGAGGGTGCCTGACGTCTGCAGACCCATTATGGGTCCAGCAAGCATTGGAAGTAGGGCTGTTGCATAGAGCGGAACGACTCCCGTTATCCAGTAACCACTCATCCATAGCAGAATGTAGGCGCTTTTTGTATCTTTGCATCACAAGTAATAAAGGTAAGAGATAATTTGCATGAATTAAATAGGTCTATGCATTTCACAACGCCGACATCCAGCCAGGATCAGCTGGATCTCAACATCATTTCACTCATCAGGGTTCGGAAACGGTGTTTTGCATGAAAATAAGAGAAATGTAATGCAAAAGACAGATTAAACTCACGTTATTTGTATTAATCAAGACAAGAGGGAGCAAAGCAAGGGGATAGAGGAAGACGAAAAGGTAGCGGAAATAGTAGATCAGGAGCACCAAACAGAGAGGCAAGCGCTCCAAGGTAAGTAGTCCCATTCTCCTCACTAAAGACATAATTACAAAAAAAACGGGAGATTATACTAACACAGAAGGGAAATTTAATGGGGCTTTGTAGGCCTCCTCCTCTTCACTTAAGGTCGAAAATTCGTGTCTCACCTCAAACTGACGGCAGGCATTTGTTTTAAATAATGACATTTACCAATCGTTCAGGAAGGTTATTACCTTGAAAATAAATTTAAACAAAATTAGTGCATAATTAGTTCATTGCCCTACATCTCTTGACATTCTCAAAACGTGGATGCAGATAAGCCATGCATGTTAATTATGAGATGAGAACAGTATCGGTGTAAAGTTCACCGCCACAACCCCAAAAAGACCCGTTTTATTTAAAATTTCTGGTTTTAAATTGAATCTTTTTGTTTATGACACGATTTTGTGTAATCACTTACCATTTAGGGTGGTGAAGGAAATCGTGTCACATATTTGTGACGTTGGATATAGGTGGGAAAAGCAACTTAAAATTGATCACACATAGTAAAAGTCTTTTTACAATTAGATTCTATAAAGGTAAAGTAAAAGCTAAAACAATCTAACTAAAGGTTACGGACTTGTTGAACTAACCCCTGTTTTGGTGATGGCGAATGCCCATAAGTGGGTAGAAGTTTAAGTTAAATAGGTAAACTTGCAACCAATCTGAAGGCTCAGGCTGAATGACTGATTAAGTGCTTATTGTGTCAATAATCCCCTAGACTGTACCAACTCATCGCAATCCATGACAATCGAAGGAGCTAGAGAGCATTTAGAGACCGCGTTCTAAAGTGATCGCTGAAGTTATTCAGATGCGTAAGGAAATTTTCGTGGATGTACTTTAATGCCTATAGCATCACGGAACTTCTCTTCTGACAAAAGCAGATATAACACTCGGGAGAAATACGTATTACCGACGTGTAGATGGGCATGGGGTGGTGGGCTATTGGCATGGCACGGAGGTCAGGTCGCCCGGTTGAAGGACCATGGTGGTTCCCCTAACTGGACCGTTTCTAAAGCAGGGAAGTAGTCAAACCACTAAAGTATTGCATTGTGGTCTAGCAAATATCCAGATGAGTTGGGTAAAAAATTACACAGCTTTAGACTACTCAAGTTCTTGAATAGCTGCAATGTTCACCCCTGCTCATGTGACAAATTTACACAGGGCTTAGTCCCTCACCCATGCGCATCAGCAAGTAAAGACAACGGAATCGAGGTCTTTGATTAATACTTACTCCGGTTTTCACTTGCACAGGATCCAAGCTCACGCTACCCAGGCTAAGGTTAACAGCAGTTCATAACAATTACCAACAAGGTATACTTCAAAAAACTGAACGATAAATGAAAGATAATCTAACACTTCAGCTGGCACAACAGTGCAAACTCAAAGAAAGTTGTGGGAGAATCTGTAGCAGGATTCCAGTGTCTAGCCCACACTAATATCGGACCAAAAGAGTCATTCCACTGATTGTGTTTAGGAGTTTAAACAAGACACAGATTCCACCCCGGTGTTCAATTCTTGGTTCAACACGTATTAGAACACATTCCGACCTAAATCCATTGGCACTAGTAATGTGCGGAAAGTCCATTTTTTTTCTATTAAAATTCAGGGTAGATTAACACAAGAATTATGTAAACTTTGCCGCACTTAAGTCTCCGAAGAATCTGCTGAATATAAACCAGTGGATAGTTAAATCTTCCAAGTAGTTACATTAAATTTGAAGGACTGTTTAATTTGTATACTGTAGTCACCACCAGATCTTCATCTCCTTGCTTGTCGATCGCGCACGCATGTTTTAATGCCAAAGGAGGACTGAAAAATCGTTTTAACGCAGCCGGAAAAAAACATGGACTTTTAAATCTGCTCAAATGGTAGAAATGCTAGCATAAATCCCCGATTCCTCTTTTCCACCAGATTACAAATTTATGAGTTATTTTCTTACACTTAGAATACTTAGATGCGAGCTTTGAGAAATTGGTTTTTTAAAAGGAAGCTTGGCGAGTTATATCCTTTCCTTCTAAATCAAATGTGAAAGTGCAACTGCAGAGAGGAGTTGGGCCTCTTTGTAACATGTCAGGAAGGTCACAACCAACAGAGTGGAGGTACAGCCTGAAGAGATTGAAGTGGCCGAGTGGTTCACTGGGCACTTAGACAAGGTATCAAGTCACTACAAGAAGGGCACTTTGGATTGAACTTGGTCACAAGCAAGTAGGCTTTCTACAAGTTCATTGTTTGTCGACAAGTCTTTAGTGCAATAATCGCATCTTCTGGAAGGTGGGTGGAAAATAATGCAGCCAACTGAGCAGCAAAGATGACTGATGTATTCTGTTAATTGCAGATAAATATGAAGGACTTTTGTGCAAAAAATCTTGTCACTGCATTGCAAATGAAATGGGATGCAACGGATACACAAACCATGGAACGTACACCGAAGAGGGTCATACAATCACAGATGATTCAGACAAAACCACTAATTGTAAGATCACCGTCGCACTCAGATTGCTGTTCAAATAAATTATTTAAAACTAATTGGCAAACGAATTGCTACATGAGAGAATGTTCGAATCAAAGCGTAACCCCTGAGTTCGGAAGACTAGAAGTAGACCTCAATTCACGGAGTGGAAAGTAAATTACTTTTCTGCATACTCTTCCAACCCATTTGCACTTACATCCATTCATGCTTCTAAATAAGATCTGTCCCTTAAAGTGTCTTGAATGCAAGAGGATTTAGCTGACCAGATAAATCAAAACCACTGCTCAAAATCAGAATACGCTCATAGCTGCCTGTGTCTACCAACTTCTCCGTATTGCACATTTCCCTCTTCATGAATTTGTGTTCTCTTCTTACCTCTTCTCTTTTTATGCTGTGTTGGTGCTCACCGTACTGTCGTCTTCCAAACCTTCACACCCTCTCTTCGAATGTCTCATTGCTGACTGCCTGAGGGTATCACCATAACACCTTCCCTAATCCACCGTACCCTACTCTACTCGACGGTACCGTGCCATAATATACATTATTATAATTGCTCTGTAGGCACAGGAAAGGGCCCATAGGTTCGGATTTTACGGCGCTTTTAATTGCATTGAGAAGAGACCAGTTTCATTAACACTCGGATGGATTTATGCGCACACATTCACTCACAGCATCTGTTTCCTGGGATCGTATCAAGACTAGGAGTGTTTAGTGTCGTATTGAACCAGCTCATGGATAATATGCGTGTCAGAAGGGGGCACATGGCATTTAACGGTGTGTATGACGCTGCTACTTCAGATATTCCTGTTGCAAAGCAGTCACAAGTTCAAAAGTCCATAGTCGAGCTAGATGCCCATCATCCAACTCTATTTAGCGTGTAGTATAATATGTTTAAGATGTCATTCCGACTCATGACAGGCAAAATGTACTTTATTTTTTAGATCAAGGG